AACATGTGGAATTCACTTATCTCCTGAGGATTGAACTCAGGTTGTCATACTTAGGAGTGCTTTTGTCCACCACCTCACCATACACACACACACTCCAAACATCTTCCAAGCCCTAACTTGCATTCTTCCAAAGCTTCTAGGCGTTTTCTTTGTGGTCACAAATACGAGTTATATTTATGATGAAAATAGTTTGTTGGCTGGGAATGTAGCTGGGTGGCAGAAAGGCTTTCCTAGGGAATGTCCTGACTTTAACCCCCAGTATCACAAAAAGTGAAATAATAAAATAAAATATAAAGTTGCACAAAAGTTCCTTACACCCACAGATCTTCAGAGAAACCACGCAGTTAAACACACAGGATTGTCTTTCCAATCAGAAAGATGACAAAAACTATTCTTCCATCCAGAAAGCTGAGAATTGGGAGTGATTGGCATATGCCACCAACCCCAGCAAAGATGTAGCCTAGGCTGACCTTGAACTAGAGACTCTCATGCCTCATTCTCTTAACATCTGCCTACAAGCATGTGCCTCACAGCCATCTTAAAATGTCTATATTTTGCCAAATTGACATCCTCTTTTATTTCAATGCATGTCCTTAATCACTTTCCACTGGAATCTATAGGCATGCCTTACTTTTGATAACTGAGGAAAAATACAAATCCTAATGTTATTGTTTGCTTTAAGACAGGATCTTGGATCTTATGTAGCTTAGGCTAGTTCACACATATGAACTACCACATGTAGTTTTCTTATTTTTGTTTTTAGTTGACATTTCTTTCACTACTTGTGGGGCTAACTAATATTGACTAGCCATTTGCAATTCATCTTTTCTATTTTACTTAGGCAATTATTTATTTTTAATTAAAATATTTTATTTTGTTTTTGCTTAAGATAGGATCTCATATAGTTCAGGCTACCCTGAAATTTTCTACATAGCCAATGACCTTGAACTTCTGACTCTCCTGTCTCTACCTCCCAAAATCTGCAATTACAAGCAAGAGACAGCCATCACAACCTAATCTCTCCAGTGCTGGGATCAAACCCAGACCTTCATGCATGCTAGATGGGCACTCTGTCCACTGAGTAGTGTCTCCAACCAGGCTGTTTCTTTTACTATATATCTGTGCACTACTACATGTGTGCCTGGTTCCCACTGAGACCAGAAGAGGGCATCAGATTCCCTGGAACTGAAGTTCATGACAGTTTGAGTCTGTGTGTGTGTGTGTGTGTGTGTGTGTGTCTGTGTGTCTGTGTGTCTGTGTGTCTGTGTGCTGTGAATAAAACTCAGGTTCTCAGCAAATAATTTTGCATTAGCCAATGATCAAAAGGAGAAGATGAAATTTAATGTGGTCCTGATGTCAGACTTACTAAGTCTACCTTGATATTAACTTACGGAGTCTAAGAAAATTGACATAACAAAAGTGTTTACCTGCAAGCTATAGTTGATCACCAAAACAGACAATAACTGAAAAAAAAAAGTCTCAAGTGTGGTGTGAACAGTCTTTCCGATCATGAAAATTGAACTAAATCGATGGAGACTGGTGGAATCATAGAAGACAATATTTTTTTTTATTTTCCATTTTAAATTTAGATAAGAAACAAGGTTGCTTCACAAGTCAGTTCGAGGTCCCTCTCCCTTTCCCTCCCCTCCTCCCGTGCCCTCCCCCCATCCCCCCCCATTATCCCCTCATTCCCCCAGGGAGGGTGAGGCCCTCCATGGGGGTGTCCATAGTCTGTCATTTCATATAGGGCAGGGCCTAGACCCTTCCCCAAGAGTTCAGGGTGAGAGTGCACCTCACATTGTTCTATGGGAGTCCAGAGTCCGTGTGTATACTTGGGATGGGTACTGATCTGCTGTCCAAGGCTCAATAGATTACCTAGGCCTCCTCACTGACACCCAGATTCAGGGGGTCTTGATCAGTCCCATGCTGGATTCCAGGCTGATGCCTGGGATTCAAGAGTTAACCTTTGTCTGGTCAGCTGTTTCTGGGGGTAGAAGACAATATTTTTAAGACATTTTCATTGCTGCTGTTGGACTAACTCAAGAAATGGGGACAAAACTACATAGATAAAAATAATATGATGGAAGTGACACTGGCTTCATCACAGTGTTTTCTTAAGTATGAAGTGTTTCTCATGACAGTCATTTCATGATAATATTGAGGCTGAATTGAAATTATAACTGATTATAAATTTTTAAAGAAGATTTCCCAGGACCCTTTTCAAATGGTTTAACTATGTAGCACAGCCTGAAGTTTGAACTCACTCACCTTCCACACTCACGGTATTGTATGAAGCTTCAAATGAAGTAACTCCTAAATTTAACATGTAGTGTTAACCAAAGTTTATGGAGCTCTCTAGTACTTTTTGGAAGATATTTTTCATACAAATTTGTAATTGTTTCTTTCATTAGTTTAGGTACATTTTGTATGTTTATATATAAATATGAATCTTACATAGAGATTCAAATAATTTCTATTGCTTTGAAGTACCATGTCAAAGTATATCAAATCTAAATTTTGAGCAAATGCCCTAAGAAGAATTAATAGATTTATCATTTATTTAAACTGCAGAGATTTTATTGTAGTTACTGATAATATAATATAATATGATATTGTAAGATACTACTTATTTAATATTTAATATTAAATCTTCATGCTATTAAAAAAAACTCAGGTTCTCTGCAAGAACAGCCAGTACTCTTAACTGCTGAGCCATCTTTCCAGCCCCTAGCAAATAAAATCTAAAATCATTTTTGTTAAACTCAAAAACATGAGCAAATTAAATATAAATGTGTCTTTGGAGAGAATCAGCACCTTTGTAATGCTCTGCATATAGAGACATGCAAAGATTGGTTCCTGGGGATGTTTTTGAGACAGAGTCTTGCTCTGTATAGCCCAGGCTAGCTCAAACTCTCTGTCCTCTGCCTCAGCTTCCTGCATGCTGGGATGACAGACATGAACCCAATGACCAGCTTATAAAGATTAATAGTTTAATTGGTCTGTAGCCCATTCACTAACAACACCTTCCTGGTTTTTCCTTGGGATTTAAATAAGTTCTTAGCCTCTCCCTGTCTAGCAGCCCTCTGCTGATTCTGATATAGGAAGATTACCTCAAGGGAATTGTTCCCAGAGCCTACAGAGGTTCATATCCACCTTGTGATTTCTCCTTCCTTGAGCAATTCTACAGCACCAACTTTTTCTTTACCAATTCCACTTGGCTGAGTTACGTGCAGACATGCACAGTGAGTGACAGAGGTGATGACAGAGTGACGTGCAGGCCTACACAGTGAGTGGCAGAGGTGATAGTGTCAGGGGAGGATGGCTCTGTGGTTTTCAGTTTGACTCTCCACAGGTGTTGGTAACCTAGTCATGTCTTTCACTCCTCACTCTGTTTCCGCTGGGAATTCACCCTGCCAAATCACCATCTCTTTACTACACAGTTCTACTGGAGGTCTACCCCAAGTGTTTAATGTTCCATCGCCACTTTCCTGTTTGGGAGTTTTCACTATGCAAATTTTGATTTTTTTCCTTCTTTGAAAATGATTTTGTGTGGAACCGACATGTAGAATTCACTGCTGTTTCGGATGGATTCCCTCCTGTTGTGTCATGGCTGAGCTCTTGTGGTTGTTCCCGTGATTCTACAAATACAGAGGACATTCTCTTTCATCCTTTCTGGGGTTTGCCCCTCCCCAAACCACAAAGACACTAAAATAGCTTAAGGGATGAGTTGACTAAGGCTCTGTTTGTGCTTGCTAAGAACAGGCAGAGTGGCTCTTGAAGTCATGTGCCTCCTCCAAAAGAACTAGGTCTTGTTTTATCCTTTTCCCCATATAAAATTCCATTCCTAACTTTAGGAGGGGGGGAGGAGGAGGAGGAGGAGGAGGAGGGAAAGAGAGAGACAGAGAGACACAGAGAGAGACACAGAGAGAGAGAGAGAGAGAGGGAGGGAGGGAGGGAGGGAGGGAGGGAGGGAGGGAGGGAGGGAGGGAGGGAGAAAGAGAGGACACTTTAACCAATGAACACCTTTCCAGTCCAAGCACTCTGATGTTTTTCCTGTGTCTTTGACAGATTGTTCTGGGCTCCTTCCTCTTTCTCCACTGGCCAGCAGCCAGGAAGCCAAGTATACCTGTCCTCTCTCAGTTCCTTCAAGAGCTCTGAGAATGGGGGTACATCCTTCCAGTTCCAGGGAATGCACCACCTCTTAAGAATTCTCCTTTATCCCTCCTCCACCCTAACAGGATCTCCTTTTTTCTCTCCCTCTATCTCTTCTTCCCAGGCGGACATGAGCTACTCTGAAGTATGGCCATCTCCAGCCCTGCCATCAACCCTAGTCCACTGTGGTACTTTAATGGCACACCAGAACTTGGGCAAATTCTCAGAGACTGTAGATTCCAGATGTGGTGGTGGCAATGATATGTTACACACATATAATTCTGGTTTTTCTTGCTTTGTATTAACTCCTAAGCAAAACCATTGGTGGTCATCAATGGGTAAGAACTTTGTGACACTGTTTGCCAAAAGATCTTTAGGATGTCAGACCACACATTATCTTATGATCTCTGATTTATTGCTGGAAACCATCTGGTCTGATTTGGGGAGAGAGAGGTTGATGCCTCACTGGCTACTCAGAAAAATAACCTGGGTTTTGAGTAGATGGAAAAAGTGATGATGTTGCTGGAGTTTTATAGAAAGAGTCCCAGTTCTGGGAATCCCAACAGACTAAGCTCAGCTTTCCATCCCAATATACCAATGAAAGAGATGGGTACGATTGGGGGTATATAGCTCAATTGATAGAGTGCTCGCCCATCAAACATGAAGCCCTGGGTCTCTCCCAGCACTAGAGACTGAGTGTGGTGGTGGATGATTCTAATCCCAGCACTTGGGAAGTAGAGACAGGAGGATCTGAAATTCAAGGTCATCCTCAGCTACATGTCAAGTTTGAGGCCAAATGAGAACATTCTGTGCCCCCAAAAGTTTTAAAAAGAGAGATGAGTAGTGAATGATAGAGAAAGGAGTTTTAATGGCCATGTTGGGGAAAGTAGCAGATAAAGAGCTCCAGTGACCCAACATTTGTCTCTAGGGTACTGGTGTCAGCCTAAATTTAAACAGAGGATGAGTTGGATTAAGGTCAAGTTGTATGCATAATTAAGCAAGCCTTGGAATAGCACTGTCTCAGTTCTGGTTCTTTGAGGTGGTTTGAAGACGTTGTTATTGCTGTCATCCCTGAAGATGTCAGCTCCGGCTCCAGGGCAGGGTCTCACCATCATAGATAATTGCTGCCATGTGGTGGGTTATCTCTTCTAGACTTGCTGTTGTTGGAGGTTGACTTCAGTCCCTTGTCATAAAGATGTCCATCAACCAGTCCTGTCATCCCTGGAATTCAAGGCAGACAGAGAAAAGAGGGACTCAGGAGAGAGATGTTAAGGAGGCAGAAATTGAACCATAAAAGGACAAACTAGAATGAGTTAGATTAGTGACCAGTACCCTCCTTCGGTGGGGCTTCAAGGATCCTCTCGCAGGGAATCAAATATGGCAGTGAGAGGGAAGAGAATCCTATGTTATACTTACTGGAGGAGATGAGACCACCCTGGCAGCTGCTTCTTGTCTCCCTTCCATAGGCAATCAGGAAGTGCCAAACATAGCAAAAGGGTGCCATTTCTTCTTCCTTGAATTGTCGGTCTATATCCCTCCCCGTGTGCATGTCTATCTGTCTCTGTCTCAGTATCTCTGTCTCTGTGTGTGTCTGTCTCTGTCTCTCTGTCTCTGTGTGTCTCTCTGTCTCTCTCATTGGTTTGGGTTACATATCAAATCCTTTGTTGCTGAGTGGCATAAATATTTTTTACACTCTGTTCATCTTTTAGACTTTTTAATGGTGGTTTTAGCATACAGACATTCTAAATTTACATGTGTCAGAACTTCAAATCTACCAACCTTTTCCTTTGTGGTTTCTACATAGAAAGACCTTCCCCATCCCTAACCAAAAGGATATTCATCTATATTTCCTTTAACTTCCTCTCCCATTTCTTTACACTGCAGTTTGTTTTGCAACAAACTCCAACCTTGCATATCCAGAGACATATGCATACAAACCTTTTTTGGGAGCCCGTGGGAACCATCAGTTTAACCACCATTCATCCCTGGGGTGTTAGACACAAGAGGAACTAAAAGGCCTTCGATTTGTCTTCCTGTGACTCTACAAAAACTCCCATGAACTCCTCAGTTATTTAATTGGCTTCTTAAAGAAAAACAATCTATTAAGTTGTGTTTGTCTGGTAAGCTCATCCAAGAGTTTCCAACTAGAAGAAACCTTTCCAAGTAAATGGGTCAATTCTCATGTGGTGGCTGGACAATGGCAGTTCCCTAAAGCAGAGAGATTCTCAACTGTTTCCACTATGACTTTTTTCTCAATGAAAATGTTTTTTATTTAAAAGATTATTTACTTTTTATGTGTGAATGGGAGGATGTCTTGTGCCATGGTGCACAAGAAGAGGTCAGAGGGCAACTTGTGGGAGTCCATCCACCCATGTGAGTCCAGGGGACTGAATGAAGGTCTTTGAGTTTGGCAGCAAGCACTTTTAACTGCTGATTCATCTCACCAGCTCACAGGTAACCTTAGTGTGTACTTTTCTGCATTTCCCAAAGTTCTAAACTTTTTAAATTTACATTTACTTTAACTTTTGTGTGTGTGAGTGGTAGTGAGAGGTTGTGTGTGTGTGTGTGTGTGTGTGTGTGTGTGTGTGTGTGTGTATTCAGTACCTGCAGAAGTCAAAAGAGGGTGTCAGAGCCCCTGTGAGTTGTCTGACCTGGGTGCTGGGAACTGAACTCTGGTCTCCTACAAAAGCAGCATGTGCTCCTAATCACTAAGTCATCTCTCCAGCCCCCAATGAGCAACTTTAAGTGAGAGTGAACCCACTGCTATTCACTGGAGGACATGAGCTGGACATTATATTTTTATATCTGTTGCTTTTTATCTTCAAAGTCTTTGCTGTAGATGGGGTGGCTCTTCTGAGTGGATTCTTGGCTGAGTTTTAAGAGGTTAGCCCAGAGCCAAGCATGGTAATAAATACACTTGCACTACCCAGCACTTGGGAGACAGAGGCAGGTGGGTCTCTGTGAGTTTGAGTGTAGCCTGTTCTGCATAGTGAGTTTCAAGGCAGCCAAGGCTAGCTAGTGAGATCCTGTCTAATCAAGCCTCACTAGCCAGAGCCTCCGTTTCCACAGAGTAGGCAGCCACAAGGGACAAAGTATGTGTCATACTGTCTGCTTGGCTCCATAACCATAAGCTTTCAAGGGCTGAAAAGACCTTGAGCAATGGGACAGTGAGAGAGCAAATCTGAGTTCTTGACTGTGCACAACATCAAATCCATACAGATTCTTTTTAGCATAAAAAGAGCATATTGGAAATTGTTGCATAACTCATAGCATTTACAGGAGGTTCAAAAAAGAGTCTTAAGTTTCCAAGAACGGCTTCCACAGTCACCCACCATCCATTGCTTCTGCTACTTTCCTGATGCCAGCAAGATGGATGCCATGGGGAGGATTTTCTCCCACTCATTCCTGACTTTTGGATTAGAGGCCCATGAAGCCATATCTCTTTGGCACAGCCAAATTCACTTACCCATTCTGGTAAAGTGAGTTTTCTGGGTCCCACCAGAAAGAGGTACTTACAATCTGGGAAATTATCAAAATATGTTCAAAACTGATAGGGATGGCTACAAATGCTTCTTAGTAATAGAGCACTTGGCCTAGTATATGCGAAGCCCTGGGTTCCATCCCCAGAACTGAAAACAAAGAGTCATGACTCAGAGGTTCCACATGCAAGATGATCTGAGCCCACCCCCTTAGGCTGTCGCTCGTGGCCATTAGAAGACCAGGCAAAGAGGCTGGTGTAGACACAGAGGCTGATCACTCAACGGTGAGGATGACTACTATATCATCCACTGGGGAAAATTCTGCCACATCACTCTGTGATCCTCTCTTGGAGGTGCCTGCCAAGTTTTGGATTCCAACATAACCCTGGCCAGGAAGAGCCTGACTTCAAGCAAAAGCAGCTCTCCTGGGACCCAGTTCCTGTAATGGGGTAGAATGGTCTATTGTAGAGACTTACTGTAGATGTATCTGCAGACTGTACATCTCTAAGGCTCACACAGATAGTCCTGGACACACATGCCAATACTAAAGATGCAGGCTGATCGCCTCCCCCAACACACATACACACATACACACACACACACACACACACACACACACACACACACACACACACACACCACAGTTGCAGCCCAGCTGTGAGTTCAAGTGTACAGAGAGGAAGTGATCTAACCTATCCACCCCTTGCTTTCTGATCTCTGCTTTCTGGTTTCTCACCCTCTTCCTCCTGGTCCTGGTTGTATCTCTCAGCTAGTGCTTGACTGCCTGTGGAGAAGGCTGGGCTGCCAGAGCGCTGTCCTCGGTGCTGGAGGTCCTGGTCCTGAATGCTTGAAGAAAAAAAAATAAACAAACTCAAGAGTTTTGAGGGGGAGCTTCGTGAAATTCACCTGAAGATGTCCATGGAGCCCCCATCAGAACACCTACCTTTATGTTTTTGGAAAATCGCAGAATCAGGCTTCTTCCTTTTGTTCCCAGACAGAGGGATTCCAACGCCATCAGCAACTTGGTGGCGGTATAGCTAAGGAATTTGAGCTCTCATGTACCACACGTAACCATTACTGCGGGTGTCCTCAGGAAGCTCCTGATTCTGTGTGGCTGCCTGTGGCTTCATGTGACATGCCTGGGAACTGGTAACTGACTACATGGCAGCTGGTGAGTCTTCGTGTGACCTTGTGTGGCCTCCAACCTGACCTTGCACATTCTCATTAGGTCTGGGCGTTATCCAATTTAGCCTCACCTAGATAGCCCCCGCCCCATCACTCCCTCTTCTCTCGAGCTTGCCGATATGACTCCCAGTGTCTACAAAATCATGTCCCAGGGGGCGTCTGAGTCAGCCGGGAACTGGCCCATCAGCATGTGCACTTGCTGGGACAGAAGTCCAGGACCCCGCTGTCACTTGAGCCTGCCTAGCCACAAAGCCCTGGCGGTGGATTGTGCGGAGGTGAGAGTCGTTCGTTCGTGGGTGGAGGGGTGAGTGGCAGCAGCAGTGCTCCCGTGAGTGCCCACCCCCCCCTCCGCATCCAGCCCGTTTCCCCCGAACGTTGCGGGGCGGGCGGCCCGGCCCCTCCCCCAGTCGTGCTCGGCGGTTCGGACGGCTGTCTCTTCGGCGCAGGAGTCCGGGCCGCGCTGCGGGGCTGGGAGTCGGGTTCCGTGAGGAGCGCGCGCCGCGCCCTCCCCCTCCCGCCGGGTCTCCGCAGCGGCGCGGGGAGGCGGGGGCTAAAAATACCCGGCGGCGGCGGCGGCGGCAGCGGCGGCTCTAGGGCTGCGGGGCTGTGGGCCCCGGAAGCAGTGCGGGCCGGCCTGGGCCCCGCTCACCGACATGCTGACCTTCTTCCTGTTGTCGGGGGGCTCCCTCTGGCTGTTTGCCGGTAAGTCCTGGTCCGATCCGGACCTCTCTCTCCGGAAAGCTGTAGTATCTTGGCCCAGGGTGCGGGTGTGACATCCCCACCTTGCGGAGCCCTTCACTGCGGCTGCTAAGCGGTACCTTCAAGGTCCTAAGCCGCCCCCAAATTGTGGCCATAGCCTCGCGCGGCGTTGGGAAAGCAGCTATGTCAGCCCAGAGGAAGGGCCTTGCTGACTGATACCCCCACAGAGTCCCTTCAGTCTTCAAGCCCCTCTCCCCTTGTGGTGGGGACCGGTGATCAGATTAGGCCCCAAGTCAAGGGAAAGGCAGACTTTCAGGGTTCGTGTTCATCTCCAGAGACCAAAACTCAAGGGTGTTGTCCCCAAGGTCCCGCGGTGAATGAACTGTACAGCCAGAGCTGATCTGGGCTTCCTGATTCCAGTCAGAACCTTCTTAACTGGTCCCCACTGCCCTTTAGCCAGAGGACAAGATTGGCTGGTTACTTGCCTCTTAACTCTGCCCAGGACATGTCCTGGCTTCCCCTGTTCCTCACAGGAGTAGTTTTCATCCCTGCACCCTCTGAGGGACCCCTTATGAACCCCTGCTTAGCACTCTCCAAGTCCCCACACCCACACCTGGACTCTCCCCACAGGCCTATCCCTTCAATACTACTTCCATGCACTGGCCTCTCCCTTCTCCAAGTCTCCTGTTAGTACCTCTAAAGGATCTCTATCCCAACTCCGGCTCCAGCCCTGTGCAGAATAAGCCTAATAATTTATGTGAAAATATTTGGTCTTTAATTTGGTTATACCTGGTCTACCCCAGGGCAAATGCTCTATGCATGCTAATATTTCTGGTTTGGTATTCAGAGAGCTCCACCAGAGATGGTGGCAAGTTGTTTCTGAGTTAAAGGAAGGGCAGAGGTTGATCCTTTTGTGGGCCATGTGTTTTGGTTTTTAATATTCATAGCAAAACCTAGTAGGTTAGTGGTACTTGTTTTATTGTTGAGATTCAAAGGCTGACTTGCCCAATGCCATATGGGTAATACCTGGAAGACTAGAGTTTGAGCTAAAGTTTTATCTGAGCAACCCATGCCAAGTGCTTGATTAATCAGGCCTGAATCTGGGGGAATGATGGGCCAGGTAATTATTTTACCCACCCCCACAACTGTCCTGAGTTAGGCCACAGGGACATTTTCCCTGAGCTGTGGAGAGTAAGGCCTCTTTAATCCCTTCAGCTCCCTAAGCTCCTTCTGTCTGCAAGTGTCTGGTGACAGACCAGACTGCTCAGGGCCACTCTGATCTTGCTGTGTGCCCATCCAGCAAGGACAGGCTAGAGCTGGGGTCACTACAATCAAAATAATAATGGCGGTGATGGTGATGGTGTTGGTTAATAGACATTATTTATTGCCTCCATGATAAACACCCTATGAGCCCCTCCTCAGTACTTGGTCCTGTTTGTCCTACTCCAGGAAGAACCCCTCCCAGTATGTGTTCAAAGCTTTGGTTCTGAAGCTTTGGTCTTCTGTGGTTTCAGGAAGGTGTCTGGACGCTACAGGGCCACACTTATGGTAGGGGTCATCAGTAGCCCATGAGAGATACCCCTGATTATGAGGACTTCTTGTCTACAGCTGGCAAACACTGTCACCAAGACAAGTTTGCCTTCTGTCATGCTTCTTTGGATGAGAAAGGGGAAATCTGCCTCACTGGGAGGGGGGCTTAGAGAGTTGAGCAGAGTTTTTCATGTGATATGTGGCAGCCACCTCCACATAGGCCAAGCTGCTCTGTTTACTAGAAAACTGAGTCTACTGTGTGTTGTTCTTGGATACTATACCCCCAGACACATTGAGGGGGGCTTATATATCATTCGACTGCCCTCTTTGGAACTAGATCTCGGGCTTTCTTTGGGGATGGGACAGTCTGAGAAATGCATGTTAAGGCGCACACACACACACACACACACACACACACACACACACACACACACCTGAGGATGAATTGTAATCCAGGATCCCAGTGTAGCTACCAGGTTCCTGCCACTCAATCAAACAGGAGGGTACTCCTGAGTCAATGTCACTCTTTATGTGCTTTTTGTTTCTTATTGTATTCCAAAGGAAGCAAGGCTTGACCTGGCAAAAGTTGACCCCAAGGGCTCTCAGGGAAAGATGGGAAAAGAGCAACCTGGGAGAGGGGAAGCCATGTGTTCTGGGCTGCACAGCACTTGACTGTTTCAGATCTAACCTGAATGCTGAGTTGTAGACAAAGAAACAATGATATGGGTCCAGCATGGGTCAGGTGCTCAGTCTGGTAAGAAACATGCCCTCCATACACCCAAGCATTCAGAGGACAATGGGATCAGTGGATTGGGACTCCTGCCCACCTTTGTGATAACTGTGTGCAGACTGGAAAGAGGTGCCACAGCTTAACTGACCTACCAGTGACATCTGTGTGGGCCTCTACAGGACACGGGACATTTGTCAGAGAGATGTAGGCCAAGTGACAAATAAAGGAAGCCAAAGCTCTTAAAGGTATGCAGAGAGAATCATGATGGGGCTGAGTCTTCAGGATCTTCTGCCTTAAGAACCTGGATTGTTGGAGAGGACCTAGAAAAGAGGATTTTATCAGGGGACACAGAAGAGCCCTCTGTTTAGACACAGTGTCCAGGATGAGTCAAGAGGAAAAGACTGGAGACCAGGAGTGTTGTTCAGGACTGTTATTATGTTATGAGAACAGATGTAGCCCAGGTTAGCCTGAGTGGGGGCTGGGCTCCATAAAAAGGCAGAGATGAGCCTCCAGTGCTGATCCCTGCTCTGGGGGCATAGATGTGGCCCTATTGGAGTGAGGCATAGCCACGGGAGGCTGAAGTGTCACGTATCTGGCCAAGCAGGTTCAAACAGGCACAGCCTGGCTCAGCTCAACCCTGTCAGAGCCCACCCCTAGTCCCAGCGACCACAAGGGAAATAACTGACTTGAGGCCTGGGGCAATTGAAGGAAGCCCAAAAAGGCATCTAAGAATTGGGATTAATGGTGGAGCTCTGGGAAAATTAGGCATTTGGGGCACGCATCCCTGAGGAAGAAAATTTGAATTTGCCTTCAATCCTTTGCCTTTTGGGATGATTCTGACTTGGGCATCTTTTAGCTGCTCAGCAGCCTGCATGAGAATGGTAAGGCTGCAAGAGTAATAGTTCACTGACACCAGGGGGCAGCATAACCTGCCATCCTGCTCCCCTGTTGATCTTCTGGGGCTTGTGATTCTAGAGGCTGAAGTTGAACCTGGCTCAGCTACAGCTGTGATAGAACTGGGGGTTGTTCCATACATTTGGGTAGTAAGGAAGAGGTCTGTCTTGTTTGCAAAAACAAACAAAAGTTTTCTATAGCAGAAGGTGTGCTGTTTAGTCAGCACCAGACACATAGAAATATTGTCTGCATTTCTGTTTCACCTTGCACACACTGTATGTCACTCATCATATTTCTATGATTCTGAAAGCTTCCCAATAATGCTGTGATACTGTTATCACCACTTACCCACGAAGCACTGAGTCCCAGAGAAATTTAAGTGGAAAGCAACTTGTATATGCTGAGGGTCAGAATGTATTCTCAGATTTGCAGCCCTGAGGAGAGCTAGGATTCTAACAAGCAGAAATGAAGTAGAAAAAGAAAAGGCTTTCTAGTCAAGAAGGACCTGATGAGGAAAGATTGGCAATGGGCATGTCTGAAGTAAAGACAGAGTGTGGTGGCTCATGCTTGTAATCTCAGCATTTGAGATACAGACACAAGAGGATCAGGAGTTTAAGGACAACTTTGACTATATAGTGAGTCAGCCTGGAGTACACAAGATTGTCTCTCAAAAAAACAAAACAAAGTGGAATAAGTGTTAACTGCTCTGCCCAGCATAACTGAAAGCAGTCTCCATTTGATGGTCTCACCTTACAGGAACAAATTCTGCTTGGTCATTGATATTGCTAAGGCTGGGATATTCAGAGGCTCCAGAAGAGAGAGAGAAAAGAATGGAATGAAGGAAGGAAGGAAGGAAGGAAGGAAGGAAGGAAGGAAGGAAGGAAGAAAGGATGGGTTGGTGGATAGTCCACAGCTGGAGGATGAATGGTTCTGTAGAAGGGAGATTTCTCTGGGGGCTGGTCTCCCTGTAGACAGGCAGCTCTGGATACATTGGCTAGCAAAACTGAGAAGGAACCCCAGTCAAGGTTCTTGCCTTTGTGGACAACCT